TATATATATATATATATATATATGAGACAAGGTTGTTTTTGCGAGACACGATTTTTACATTACAGCAAAACACTGGAAAGGTAACTTTCACAATGTTTTTGCTATGAAGATTTGATATATTTTTTACCTTCACGACATTTTGTTGTGAAGTTTCAAATGTAAATATTGTGTCTCACGAAAACAGTCATGTCTCACGTGAACCCAACCCTATATATGTATATATACGTATGTATGTTATTCATCGATTGTTTATCAGACCAAATTTTTTCGAAGGTTTTTTTAACCAACGCTTATCATCCAGGTGGATCGAGTCTATATTGGTTCCCCTCATATGATCGGGGTGTTTGATCACGAAAAGAAACGAACTTTTCTCATTCGGAAGGAAGGCCTACCTGATGCAGGTACAAAAATTCGGTCCTTTTCAATAACTATTGATCATGTCCTAAAATAAACGTCCATAATAATAATAACGAGATATATATTTTTTGTTTCCCGATGCTTTATTCACCTTTCATTTTTAAAAGACTAGTTGTGTACTAGCGCAATGCGGCGGGAGCCGTGAATTTTAACGATTTTGAAGTTTCACTGGTTTTATTAGAGAAGATTTAACGATAATATAAATTACACTTGGTATTTACATATTAATACAATTTAAATAAATAAGAGTTATGGTTTCAATTACAGTCTATCGATTAAAAAATTTGTTTGACAATTTAAAATCCAACATATTTAAAATCCAACATGTTTAAATGATTCCACAAATCTGTTTGATTTACACCAAAAGCAAAAAATCAAGAGATCGAGGGTGATAGTTCTAGAGCAATTGAATGAGAGATGAATGAAAGAACTTTTAATAACTTATGGTGAATATCGGTTTGAATCTCACATTGGGGGATGGAGAGAAGACATAGAGGTATGAAATGGTGAAAACATTAGTGAAAAGTGTCAAAAATATCTTAAGAACATGAAAAGAAAAGGTAATAATGTGCATTGGTAACTTGCATTATATGTTATTTTAATTATAAATTAAGAGATTTTAAGACTGAATGCATAAAGTAGTAGTACTTAATGCATTATGAGTTGTTTTTAAGACTTTATGCATAAATGTATAGTACTTTTTGCATTAAAAATTGTTTTTAAAACTTTTGATAAATCTGATTTATAAGGTGGTATAGATGACTCAAAAAAGACTGCGTTAATAATAAAAAATGGTAATGTATTTCTCTACCTCACAATTAATGATGGAATTGAAAAGCAGACAATTATTTTAGAAAAAAATAATAATCACTGCGGACAATTGTGTTTGGGACTGATGATGTACCTAAAATACTGTTTAATAACCGTTGAAACAATGGGCAGTGGTTTGGAACCCGTGGGAGAAGAAAGCGAAGGCGATAACAGACATGGGGGACGAAGAGTATCGACAGACAATTTGTGTTGATGGGGCAGCGATTGAAAAACCGATTACTTTGAAACCAGGAGAGGAATGGACGGGTCGTTTAGAGATTTCTGCCCTCCCTTCGATTTAATCAGTCATTTAACGTAATAAAATTTTAGAAACGATGTATATTTTCAGTTTATATTGTATCGAATAAATAAATTTATAAGTAGTTTTTTAAATACATAAATATGGGAATTTTTATTATTGTGGGCTGTTCGGCATTTGCTGAAGGTTTTGTGCAAAATGATTAAAAAGCTCTTGTGATATAGTGTAAAACGAAATATAATTGATTCATAATTGTTTACAATAGAATTAGGGCGTTGAATGGTTAATTCATATATCTAATTTGAGTATGTGATGTATTAGAATATTTTCAATAGATATGCCACTTTAGAACGAGAAAACTTTGCTCAAACAATTATGCTAAACTGGTTGTTTGTTTACCTCTTAATACTATCATTAATAGGCAACCTCATAATCGTTAAAAGGTGAATTTCGTTTGGCAAAAAAAAAATGTCTTTTAATGGTTTTAAAACCTTCTGAATGATTTTGTATCATGGGTTTCCCTTAACCATTCAGCACCCTAATTTCATTGTAAACAATTATATTTCATTTTACACTATATCATGAGAGTCTTTAATCAATCTGATCACTTAATCATTTTGCTTCCAACCATTCAGCAACTACCCAAAGGCAAAAATTAAAATCTGGATTAATTACACCATTTACACATGAAATTGAAGGAGTGTTTGCTTAGAGGTATTAAGCAGTTTTCTATGTGAATGATAATAAAAGAAACAGTTTGGTTTTATATAATATAATGGGTTCATTTCCCTCATAAGCTCAAGTTTTTTCATTCCAGATTAAACTGGAAACTCATTCCAGTTTTCATTTTCATCCCCCAGTCTGAACCAAACAACCTCTGATGTCTACACGAGGAAAAATTCATGATTTCCTGATGGGGCTCCGTGTTCCCATTCTCGGGTAGAGGATTATCGATTACGACCCGGTATCCCAAACCACGTTGTCATATCTCTTTATGAAATAGAGGAGCAAATGACAAGAAGAAATAGTAAAAGGGAAGTAATAACATGATGTTAATTCTCGGGGACCGTTTATGTAAACTATGGGAAAGTACAATGGACTAAAAAGGAAAATTGAGTAACCAAGGAGTAAAACAAACACTATTTTATTCTTCAGGGACCATTTATGTATATTTTTGGAAAGTACAATGAAGGGAGAAAAACTAACACTTTTTCATTCTTCAGGGACCATTTGTATAAAAAAAAAAAAATAATTCAGAAGCTATTCTTTTATATCAAAGCCAGGTTTCGATCCTGGGACCTGTGGGTTATGGGCCCACCACGCTTCCGCTGCGCCACTTTGATTAGTTGAGCTACTAACCGACTTTAAAGTATATAATACGTAAGCATACATTTTTTAAACGCTGTCGTTTTCCTTTTCTAATTTTTACATTTTATATTACGTACATATATAAATTATAAAGCTTATGATTATAATTTTTTTTTTCCAAATATATAAAATAATTAATATTTGTTTGTGTTAAATTAAAAATTATATTTTACTACCTTTTCTATTTTTTTTAATTAATAATATATTAAAGATAAATTGCAATAAATAATATTTTTTTATTTCAAAAATAAATGTCTACATTTATATTTATATTTATATTTGTGTCATAAAAAATTTACGGTTTAACAATAAATAACAGAACAGTTAAATTTACCCTTACTTAATGTACAAATATTTAAGAGGTTTAAAGAGAGAAACATTAATTAAGGTAAAATTAAAAAGTGTAAAATTAATTAAGGGAAAATTTTGGATTAATTAGAAGTTGTTTGACAGATGCCGAATGGTTTAGTGTAAAATGTTGAAGTTGTGAGAATGATTAAGAGGCTCTTGTAATATAATGCAAAATGAAATATAATTGTTCCGTAATTATTCAAATGAAATTAGGGTGTTGAATGGTTAAGGGAGACTCAAGATACAAAATCAATCAGAGGGTTTTAGAACCATTAAGAGACAAAAAAATTTTTTTGCTAAACAAGACTCATCTTTTAGTGATTCAGAGCCTGCCTCTTAATGAAACTATTAATAGGTAAATAAACAACCTAACTATTATTCATGTTTATCAAAAAATTTATTGTGGATACTTAGAGGCCGTTTACCAAATGGTTATCTTGATAAGTGATTATCAAGTCACATTACCTCACCGGATGGATATAGTAAGAATCAAGAATATTACCCGGTAAGAGCGAAGCAAGGACCAAGAGTCTTACCCGGTAAGTGAGGGCGACGACTCTTACCACGATAAGCACTTACCGACTAAATTGTTGTATAAGATGTTGCTTTGGTGGACTAAAATCTTACCCGATAAGTAAATAATAGTGTTATATTTTACCGGGTAAGTGTTTAATAAACGACTCCTTATTCTATAGTTTTAAAAGACATAACGTAACATTGCAGAACAACTTTACGAAATATTGTCTACTTTATCAACATCTAAACTCACAATTTTAAAATACGAATTATAAAGCAAACGATATGAGATCTTACACATAAATCCAATCTTTAAATCAAAGCTTGTAAAAAAAAATGTTCAAACCAAATCTTTTATTACAATTAATTATTGGATTATAATTCTAAAATTATATATATAGAGAGAGAGAAAGAGAGAGAGTTTGTTTCAAATACAACCCAGCGCATTTGTACAACCAATGCAACCCAATGAATTTAGATATTTATGGAAATGATGAGAGTTCATTTATTATGATTTGAATATTTATGAAAGATTAATATGGTTCATTAATTATGATCAATATTTTATATTATGAAACAATCAAAACTTCTATAAAATCACATATCAATCAAATGAAATGGACGGTTGAAATTAGGTTGTATTGGTTGCATAAATGTCAAGGGTTGTATAATAACCAACCCCTCTCTCTCTCTCTATATATATATATATTATTATTATTACCAAATGTGTTTCTCAATTATTAAAAAGGGGAAATTGCAATAAAAAAGTAGAGTGATTGAGAACCAAATTGGGTGGTTTTGAGACTCCACTTGTCTCTTTCAAATGGCCCTCCTATCAAATCTCAAAATGCCATCTTTTTTTTAATTAATCTGGATATCTAATACGACATGCGAACTGATTAATCATAAAATAATTATCTGTTTTGTGGATAATTTGGAGTTATTGTATTTGAATTTTTATGGTCATAAGGGTATTTTTATTTCTCATTGGATTTAGACGTGTGACCTACAGACACTTTTAATCTTTAAAGTTCAAACTCAAACCAATCAGATATCACTCTTGCGGTTCAAAATGACCACCTTTCGCGTCAAAAGAAATATACTTAAATTCTGTTTAATTTTAATTTAATTATTAAAATTTTAAAATTATCAAAAAATATTTTATAAAAAAACAACTCAAATTTCGTTTAGTTGTTTTTTTTAAATATATTTTAGTAAGAAGGGAGGGAAAAAAAAGACACCGAGAAGGATCTGTGGGAAACAGAAAAACGTCCCAAGACTCACCAAGAAAACGGATTAAAAGAGGAATAATAATAGGAATAAACAAAAACCAACGATAGATTACGACCAAAACAAGAACCAAATGCAGAGGAAGAACGCTCAAACGACTATCCCGGAACGGGTGCAAAACCAATAAACTCGATATACTGATAAAGAATTGCACCTCGAATAAATCCAATCAGAAGACTGAAATCAGATGTCACCCTCAAGTCATATTGGATTCATGAGTTGCTTGACTTATAAAGGTTAGGTTTCTATGGAATTACATTGCCTCAGTTCACATACTTCATTTTTTAAGGTTAATATAAGCTCGTGTTTCAGTCATATCAGTTTGTATAAAATTACAGATATATTACTGCACAAAGTTTTATATAAGTTATTTGTCGGAGTTGCAAGTAAAAGTATTCTTAAACTGAAACTTATTGATTAAATCTGGTTTAGTACTGGCAGTTAGAAGTCTATTAAGGTTCAGTTACATGTTGAATCCGAACCATACTGATCTCGAGTACAACTCACATATTGAAACGTAACTGCTTAGTTTGACTTGATCCTGCGAGTCTTTTGATCAGTTGGCTCAAGAGTCGTTAATAGTCAACGTATGTTAAATCAGTTTCTTATTAAAAACAAGTAAAATTAACATATAAACCAAGAATTATAAATAAATTTAAATAAAATTAAAATATAAATACCATGTGATTATACATGTACATACATAAAGGGGTTATTTGTTTACCTCTAAATAGTTTCATTAAGAGACGATATTTGAATCGTTAAGAGCTGAATCTTGTTTGGCAAAAAAAAAAAAAAAAGTCTGCATCTTAATAGTTCTAAAACTTTTTGAATGATTTTGTATCTTGGGTCTCCCTTAACCATTCAGTGCCCTAATTTCATTATAAACAACTATATTTTATTTTACACTATATCATGAGAGACTCTTAATCATTCTGACCACTTAATCATTCTGAACACTTAATCATTCTACACAAACCATTTAACAACTGTCAAACGGATCATAAATTTATTAAATTGTTTTAAGTTTATTTTAATTAATTATTTGAAGGAAACATGAGATTTCAAATAGGAATTCCATGTGTGAACAATTATCGCAATCATGCATATTATATATTTATATAAACATATATATGGAGATTCAGATGAAGAACAATAATTAAATAAAAGAAAATAAGAACAGTCAAATCATGTATAAAATCACATTTGATTTTACATTAATGGTCAATGAAGGGTGTGTGGACGACATGGGCCCATGACCATAAGTAGTGGCCAAAGTCATGTAAATCACATGTGATTTAAAGCGTGATTTTAGTGTAAAATCACATGTACTTCAACTATTTTCCTTTTTTTTTAGTTGGTTATTGTTCTCGTTTGAACCTGACTCTCACTCTATATCCCGATATAAAAATAAATTTTTATAAAGTTTTTATTTAAAAATTCATAAATTTGATTCACAGTGATTGTTAGAGTATCTCCAACAGGTTCTCTATAATGTTTTTTAAAAATAGATAACCAAAAGTTAAAACCTCTAAAAAACTCATATTCATTTCCAGCAGATTAATTATTTTAGAGATTTTAACATAAATTATGTTATTATTATATTCTCTAATTTATCATTTCAATAAACTTTTAAAAAATTTATAAAATATTTTTTTACCAAATTTTTTTATAAAAATGTTAATAATTCATTTTATTAGTGAGACTGAATAAAACAATGATTTCCATTTCTTAACATTAAGTTTCAGAGAATTCTTTAAACTTAAAGTTTTTTTCATGTTTTCTCTATTTTGAAGAACATTGTAGAGAAACTGTTGGACCATTATAGAAAACAAAAGGTTGATTTTCTATATTTTACAAAAAAGATAGATTTACATGAAAAAATAATGTACTTTAATTTGATTCATATTTTAGTTAACATACTTTTAAAACTTCCATTTTAGTACCCAATATGTAAAGTTTTAAGCATTTAAATACGCAAGTAACCAGTTGAAGCATTAACCAATTACTATGCTGATGTAATGAGTGATACCACCATAAATATCTTAATACTAAGTTGAATATCACATCACTCGTTACATCAACATGTTAACCGATTAATGTTTCAACCAGTTATCTGGATACTTAAATGTTTAAAGCTTTACATCTTAGATACCAAAATATAAGTTTTAAAAATACATTACCTAAAATAAGAATCAAGTTAAAATACATTACTTTTTAATACAATTTAAGAAGATATTCTTAGTGCCATTATGTGGACTATTTTTTTCTTTCCATTTACAAGAACCACTCTTTTACAACTATGGCAATGATTTCTTTTTCCAAGATAGTCCTCATAGTAATGAGTACTCATTAATTCCCCATTTCTTTTGTCTAGGGGTAAAAGTGTCTCCATAATTAAAAGATTCTTTAATACTATTAAAATCATATTATAATTTATTTTTTATAAAAAAAACATTTGTAAAAATGGTCATAAAGTCAACTATGCCATAAATGTCCAAGTAAAGTTATATCTAATGTATAGTATATTATAAAATATTTGATAAAAATTCTTAAAAACTATTTTTTATGTATKAAGTATYGTTTATTAATGCATATTACTTAAAATTTAATATTACAAGTAAATTATGCGCAAGTACAACTTATTAAAGGTCAATAGATTGAGAGATGAGCAATTATGAAACACTAGTGTTGATGGTCTAGAAAACAATACGAGACAAATAATGGGTTAGGTTACCTATTACCGTATAATAGAATGATAAGATACAAGCGTCTTTGAAAGATTGTAAAAACAAACAGTCTGAGTGACTCTACCTCTTACCGAATCAGGCATAAGAGGCTGATAAAAGTTTTTTTTCTTTTTCAAAAACAAACAAGACCTCAGTGTTATTTACATCAAATCTGTAAAAAAATTAAAAAAATTACGAAAATATATTTGATATGTATTTGGATTTTTTTTAAGGTTTTTGGTTGATTTCATGAGACTTTTTCGATTTTTCGGTTAATTTTAATGAACTTTTTCATTTATTTGGTTGATTTTGATAGAATTTTTTTTTTTAATTTCAATAGACAATTTTTTTTTCTTTATTTTGAGCAACTTTTCTTGGTTTTTTAGTTGATGTACCTTGTATTTTCTAATATTCTGGAGCACCATTTAAAGTTTATCAGATGTACCTTTCATACCGCAATTTTTTTTACTTATAAAATAAGTTAAATGGGTGCATGCAACCCCGCTTAGGGCTTAACAAGTCCGACCATGTGATGGGACCTAGATATTGTATTTATACAACACTAATATGGTGACTTCGGCCTACCCACAAAGCATGTGCTTGCACTGAGATATTAGCTTGTATAGCGGGTTGGATATCCATGTTAATAAAAAAAGACAGCTTACCATAAGGTTGTGGTAATATTGCAATACAAAGAGGTGTCCATAAAATTGAATTAGTCTTCAATTGGTATAAAACAGGTAAATCAATACTTTAATTCCATACAAATACGAAATGGACAAATAAGATAATAAAAGACTTAGAATTTATGATTTTAAAAGAAAATAAGATAGCTAAAATGGAAGAAATGAGCACAAGTCATAAATGCATAAATTGCATTAAGTATACACATTTAATATGTAAAATCAGTATTTAGACATGACCTAAAAACACCATTCAGTTTTCATATCGGTTTTTGTCTGATAGTTTTTAATCTCGATAAGTGAATTGAATAACATGATGGTCGTTTTATTTTTTCTCTGGGCACTTTTGATCGAAATTGGTAGCAGTTAACATCAACTGAATAGTTGAACGACCCGTTTTGTAGTTTAATAATCACCGGTTATTTGACGTATTTGAAACATGTATAAAAATTGGGTAAAATATATTTAACATATCTTGAGCTTTATAATTATACACTTGTTAAATAAAAATATTTATTAACGACGTACTGATATTTTTACAAGTATATCAATAAGGCTTGGGATCATGTGAGACTAGACTGTTTTCGTGAGACCACTTTTTTACACTTGAAACTTCACAGCAAAACGCTGTGAATGTAACCTTCACAGTGTTTTTGTTGTTAAAGTCCGACTTTCTTTTACCTTCACGGTGATTTGTTGTGAAGTTTTAAGTGTAAAAAAATGGTTTCACGAAAACAGGCTGGTCTCACGTTAACCCAACCCATATAAATATTATTTTAGGGGTCGTTTATCAAATATTTTTCAAGTAAGCGCTTATCGGTAATTGTCGTTATTCTCATTTACTTTGTCGGATAAGATTTTTGGCTATCAAAATGACCAAGTAGTCACTAATATTACGCATTAAGCACTATATGGGTAAAAGCTATCACGCTTAGTAACCCATTAAAATTGTCGGTCATTATTATGTCTTTTACTAGGTAAGATTCTTGTTCTTTATCCCCGAAAAAATAAGTGACCCAAGGATTGGACCCAGTTTGTGCCACCACTACGTTCCTCCATCGTAAACTGGAAAAATTTAAGCTCGTGAAAGGTACAACCGTATAGATTTTGAAACTACAATGATAAAAACAAGTTTGTCTTGATATATTTGGTTTGGACGACTTATCTCCCATACGAGGCACATGTTCAAATATAGTTTTAATCATTTTCTTAGTTTTTAGTTGTTAATTCCATATATATATATATATATATATGTGTGTATATATATATGTATATATATATATATGTATATATATGTATATATATATATATATATATGTTTCTAACAAAATTGCAGTAAAAGATACACACACAAAACCTAACATAAAAAAAGTAAAGAACTAACCAACAGATCAATGATAATTTTTTCAAAAATACTCATAAATTTGTTTTTTTTTACGTAGGACAAATTGTATGAAAAAATAACGTACTTTAACTTGATTCATATTTATGCAACGTACTTTAACTTGATTCATATTTTATGTAACGTACTTTCAAAACTTCTATTTTGGTACCTAAGATGTAAAATTTTAAATATTTAAATACTCAGGTAACCGGTTATCATGTTGATGTAGTGAGTAATGTGGTATCCAACTTAGTATTATTTGCTGACGTTGTTAGTAACATGAATTTTTTTAATCTAAAATTAGGTTTCAACCGGTTAACCGAGTATTTAAATGTCTAAAACTTTACATCTTAGATACCAAAAATAAAAGTTTTAAAAGTAGTTGCCTAAAATAAAACTTAAATTAAAATACATTATTTTTTCATACAATTTGTTCTATAAATAAAATAATAAATTAACTGGTTTTCCCTGAATTGTCCCGTTTTGCTCCTCCAGATAACATTCTTGAGTACCCAACTCTTTACCCAAAAGTTAAAGAAGAAGACAACAAAAAATACAACCATCAAAAAGTAAAAGCTCTGTTTTTTGTGCTGCTCCTCCTTCCAAACCCCTCTTTTACCTTTAAATTAAAATCACTGAATCCCCTTTTGACTAAAAAATCCCACCTCCCAATTCAAACCTCCATTTTTAAACCCCATTTTGCTTCATCTTCATCCCCTTTTCTCTTGTGTTCTTCACCGTTTTTGAAAAAAAAGGTCCAGATTTGAACCTTTTTTGCTTTGTGGGGTTGATTTTGTTTGAAGTTTTTCACATGGGTTTCGATTCTTAACCTCTATTTCTGCAATTTTCGTCGGAAACCCTGAATCTTTCGCCGGAAAAAATGGAGCTTTTCAAGCTTTTCTTGATGTGTTTCCTCTGGTTTGGAGCAAATGCCGTTGTTCTTGAAGATGATAGAAGAGCATTGTTGGATTTCATAACCAATCTTCCACATTCTCGTTCGTTAAACTGGGATTCAAGCTCAACTCATGTGTGTAATCAGTGGACTGGAGTCACGTGCAGTGAAGATGGGTCACGTGTTGTCGGTCTCCGGTTACCCGGAGTTGGGTTTCACGGTCGTATTCCGGCCAACACCATCGGCAAACTCTCGGCTTTGCAGATCTTGAGCCTCAGATCTAATGGTATTTCTGGCCAATTTCCGGTGGATTTCTATAATCTCAAGAACTTATCGTTGTTGTATCTTCAATTTAACCAATTTTCTGGTCCATTGCCTCTTGATTTCACCGTTTGGAAGAATTTAACGATCGTTAATCTTTCGAATAACGAGTTCAATGGGTCGATTCCGGTTTCGATTTCGAAAACCCATCTTTCTGCTTTGAATCTTGCTAACAATTCGTTAATTGGGGGGATTCCTGATTTGGGTGTTTCTGATCTTCAAGTTCTTGATCTTTCGAACAATCATCTCACCGGATTCGTTCCGAAATCACTCGAGAAGTTCCCGAAATCGGCGTTTTTCGGTAACAATTTGTCAATGGTTTATTCGAGTAATGAAGTTCCGATAGTTATGCCTACTCGTAAGCCGGATTCGAGCTCCAAAAACGGCGGAAAATGGAGTGAAAGAGCTCTTTTAGCGACGATTGTGGCTGTTTCCGCCGTTGTTTTTACGGGTTTCGCGATCTTTTGGGTGATTTGTTGCTTAAAGAAGAACAATGGTGACGGGATTTCTTCGAAGCTCGAAAAAGGCGGGATGTCGCCTGAGAAAGCGATTTCTCGAACCCAAGATGCGAATAATCGATTGGTTTTCTTTGAGGGTTGTAGTTATGCATTTGATTTGGAAGATCTTTTGAGGGCTTCTGCTGAGGTTTTGGGGAAGGGTACGTTCGGGATGTCGTATAAGGCGATTTTAGAAGACGGGACTTCGGTTGTGGTGAAACGGTTGAAAGAATTGAGCGTCGGGAAACGGGAGTTCGAGCAGCAGATGGGGATCATTGGGAGTATTAAGCACGAGAATGTGATCGAATTGAGGGCGTATTACTACTCGAAAGACGAGAAGCTTACGGTTTGCGAGTATTATGGCGAAGGAAGTGTTGCCGCGATGTTACATGGTATGTTTCGATCTCTTTTCGACTCGTTTAATTGCGTTTTTTGTTTAAATTTACGATATTATCGTTGCGTTTTGATTGGTTTTATATCTCCTAAATGGTAAAAAGTAGGGAAAATTGCGTAACATAGTAACGTTTTTTATCTGATTTCTATTTTGGGTAATGTCCTTTTGAAAACCTTACATATATACCAAAGTACTTTATACAAATTAGGAATCAAACCATACTGATAGATATACATGGCTCGTTTGGTTTGATTTGGTTTAGTGGGCCCACCCTTATCTAATCACAGAGAGGGTGGGCCCACAAACCGAAATAAACGGGAAGAATTCGACCTAAACCTCTTGTCAAGATTATACGTGTTTACGACTATGCTTATGGTAGCTTAATTAAGCATAGTCGGTTTGTTTTCCCTAAATTAGGGTTCAAGAACGCAAAGAAATAAGGTAAAAAGAATCTAAATCAGGTCGGCTTCGACCTGATTTCCTTTCGATTTGTAGATCTTGTCTTCGTCTACGGTACTCATAGACAAAGACAACACCCACAAACCGAAGGTGAATGGACATGAACGATGGTCAAGATTAGTGCTATTTAGTTGAAGTCACAATTTATCGAAGTCATTTTTACAAAGGCCAAATTGCATGAAAAAAGTATAGTACTTTAACTTGATTTCTATTTTGAGTAACGTATTTTCAAAACTTCCATTTTGGTACTTAAGATGTAAATTTTTTAACATTTAAGTACCCGGGTAACTAGTTGAAGCATTAACCGGTTACCATGCTGATGTGGTGAGTGATGGGATGAAATTGGGTTGAACAACATATAGTACTGAGTTGGATACCACATCACTTGCCACATCATCATGGTAACCAGTTAATGCTTCAACCAGTTACCCGAGTACTTAAATATTTAAAACTTTACATATTAGGTACCAAAATGAAAGTTTTGAAAGTACGTAACTCAAAATAGGAATCAAGTTAAAGTACGATATGAGATGATAACATGATCCAACGAACCTGACTTTTGGGTTCATTCATACTCTACAAATGGAATGATAAGACGATCCAATCAAACAGCATGAATAAACTTGACCTTGAGGGGTTGTTTGTTTACTTCTTGATAGTTCTATTAAGAGGCAATCTCTGAATCGTTAACAGATGAATCTTGTTTGGCAAAAAAATCTGTTTATTAATGGTTTAAAAACCCTCTTAACGATTTTGTATCCTGACCCTTCCTTAACCATTCAGCGCCTTAATTTCTTTGTAAATAATTACCAAACAATTACATTTTAGTTTACACTGTATCATAAGAACCTTCTAATCATTTTATATCAAACCATTCAGCAACTGTCAAACGAATCCACACTGTACAGGTGGTGGATGATGACATGATAATACAAGAATTTCTTGAAAAAGAAAGGTTGATCAATTGGATGATATCATTCTCTTCAATATCCAACCTCTTTGGTCTTATTCAAGAATAATAATTTATATTAAAAAAACAATATTTTTTAATATTTTTTGTATTTTTATTAATTAAATTTAGTTTATTGGATGGAATATTGCATTATACATGATAGAGAAATAAGTTGTTGATTGATAAGAATCATTGCATGTGGGATGAGAGAATCTTTAAATACAAATATTTTGGTCCAATTTGTTGTTTGCATTTGTCCTCTATCCATTATTGTCAATTTTTACATGTGAAATTACCTTTTTGCCCCTAGGGCTTTTTTTTTCGGTTGACCGTGATTTGACTTTGATTTTGATAGGTAAGAGAGGGGAGGATCGGGTTCCGTTGACGTGGGATACCCGACTCCGGATCGCGATCGGTGCCGCCCGTGGCATCGCTCGGATCCATGCCGAGACTGGCGGCAAGCTCGTCCACGGCAATATCAAGTCGTCAAACGTGTTCTTGAATCCTCAAAGTTATGGATGTGTCTCTGATGTTGGTTTGTCGACCATCATGTCTCAAATCGCCGCCCCGATTGCCCGTGCCGCGGGTTATCGGGCGCCGGAAATTACCGACACCCGAAAGGCTACCCAGCCGTCGGATGTCTATAGCTTTGGTGTGCTGTTACTCGAACTTCTAACCGGTAAGTCACCGGTGCACACCACAAGCGGCGATGAGGTCATCCATTTGGTCCGGTGGGTCCACTCGGTGGTCCGGGAAGAGTGGACCGGTGAGGTTTTTGATGTGGAATTACTAAAATACCCCAACATCGAGGAGGAGATGGTGGAGATGTTGCAGATTGCGATGTCGTGTGTGGCGAGAGTAGCAGATCAGAGACCGAAAATGACGGAAGTCGTTAAAATGGTGGAAGACGTTCGACGGAATGCGGAATCGGAGAGTCGGCCGTGCTTGCCGGAAAGTTCGTCACGGGTACCACCGGATGTTCTCGAGAAATGATCTCCGATTGCCGGCCGGTGGTTCTTTCATTATCTCGATGAATTAATTTCTAATACTTCCATTCCATGTCATCATTTTGTGTTGTATTGTTGCAAAGTTTTTATGATATTAGTTTTGTATGCAAGATTTAATTTTAATTTAAAATTTAATTTTTTTTATTTTGTCGTTTAATTAAAAATTAGTTTTTGTAACCATGGTTTTTTTTTATTCTATGTGTTTCACGAATCAAAGTTTAAGGGGGTGTTTGGGATTGCTTGTAAAAACAACTTATTGACTTATTTTGGTGTGACACATATAATAAACACTTTTGAGTGTTTGGATAAACAACTTATATCGGTGTCAAACAGGTAATAAGGAGTTTTTGAAGAAGTTAAACCTTTTAACTTATAATAAATTGATAAGGGCTTTTGTAGAAAATCGTAAATTGTTTCAAATAAGCAATCCCAAACACCACTTAAATCATTTCATTATGTTTAAAGTTAAATTATGGACATGAATTTTAATTTACAATTTTATAGTAAAATCTTAAATCCCTTGATGTTTGTAAGTAAATTGTTTTGAGGTTTGAAAGTTTCACATAATAAATGATAATGGGTGTTCTGGAATATCAGAAAATATAATGGACATCAACTATAACTAGAAATTAAAAATAAAAAAAGGTCCATGAAAATCAACTAAAAAAACAATACTGAACATGACAGAACTGAACATGACTGGACATGAAAAGAGAGTAGGAGTGGAGAACAAGTGTTTGTCTAGTGTTTGGTACGACTAGGACTGTACATGACAGAACTAAATAATTATAATTAACACAAATAAAGTAAATAATTTAATTTATATATATTTTTACACAATTTATATATATATATATATATATGTGTGTGTGTGTGTGTGTGTGTGTGTATATAAAATAGTACAAAATTCGAATGAAAATTTTATATAATTGATGGTAGTTTGAAAAAACCTGATTCATACAAAATATAATTTATATTTTTATTCAGTTTGAAAGATCCTTATCAATCAGTGAAAGCATGATGAGGATTGTTGCAACAACAATTGTTGTAGAGGTATTAGTATTGGTAATTGGTGGAGGATGATGGTTGTGGAAGACGTGAAGATGGTGGATAATGGTGGTGGTGGCGATCAAAAGGGGTGGAGGAGGAAGTCGTGGCTTATGTGGGTGGAAGTAGGTGTGACGGTGGGCAGTGGTGGTGGTTATGATGGAGGTGGTGGTGGCTGACGATACTAATGGTTGTGGTTGTGGAGGTTGTGATAGACGAGGTGGTCGATAGTGGTGGTGGTGGAAAAGGATACCATGTTAAAATTATATATCAAACGAGAGTTAATTAGTAATATTTTAGCTTCTATCTTATTCTTGTCCCATTTTATTCCACCTATTTTGGTGGAACAAGAAAAAGCTTTTTTTTTTGTCTCACACTATCCTGCCTTGTCTCAGTTCTTGTCCATGTCTCATGTCGCACCGAACGTGGGACAATGAGTTATTGTCATGTCCCATGTCGTACCAAACATAGGTCACTGAGTTTTGTCTCGTCTTGTCACATGTACCAAACGCGGCCTAAATCACAAACAGAAAAAATCCTTCAAAATCAACTAAAAACCGAAAAAAGGTCCACAGAAATCAAATAAAATAACCAAAAAAAATATCTTAAATTCAACCAAATTTTTTTTTATTAAATCCCTTAAAGAAAATGAAAAAACCCCACGAAGTGGTGGAATTTGGCTATAAATAGGCATGGCAACGGGGCGGGGATGGGGCGGGTTTTGTAATCCCCGGCCCCGACCCCGGTTTGTAATACCGTCCCCCGGCCCCGGCCCCGGTCCCTGGCGGGTACGGGGATTATCATCTTGTCCCCGGTCAAAACCCGGTAAACCCTGGTCAATCCCCGGTTAAAACTCGGTAAAAATTATGCTTTAGTTTGATTATACCGGAGATCCTCGGCCCCGACTCCGGCCCCGTTTTGAGTAACATTCCCCATCCCCGGTTTGAGTCTACCGGGGAACCCCGGCTTGAGTCTACCGGGGAACCCCGGCCCCGGGACCCGTTTTAGCGGGGAATCCCCATCCCCGTTCGGGTCGGGTGAACCGGGTTCCCCACCGGGTCGGGGTAAATCACCATCCCTAGCTATAATAAACACATGGGACTTGCGTGTAAGACGCAGTATAGGGTCTTGCTCAAAAGGCTGGTTCCATTTGGAAAAAAATGTATTTTATTTCCAAATCGACACAATTGACTTTATTCCGGTTTAAACCGTGTTGACTAATCTTATCCACATGATCAAACTGCCACTTTATGGGTCTTTAATCCATCTTAAAGGTCTGCTCATTCGGCAAAAAACTTGGTCCATCACTACATGTATTCATTAGTCGGTGTGCATAAGCTGGCTTGGAAACTCAGGCGTTGCCAAAGCCCTTATAGTCGTGGAGGTTCATCTGTGATGACTCCAGGCTATTCATGGTCACTTGGAGAATTAATCGGTGCACGTAAATCGACCTGAAAACTTACGAAAACACACACACACACACACACACACACATATATAGTTAATCGGTAAAAAATATGAAACATTGAATGTTTGTTACATGATTAAACAAGATAATGCATTAATACGTTGTGTAAACTTCGTTAAAGCATCTCTAACGGACTCTTCAAAATAAAAAAAAAATCTAGATTTTGGGGATTTTCAGCTAAATTTTTGTTCCAACAGATTTTTTAAAATGGAGAAAATAAAATAGAAATGGTACCTTTTTCCAAATTTGGAGGACAATTTAAAAGTGATTGTTTAGAAGCGAAAATTCATTTTATTATTGTTCTCAAGGGGTGAACACGAGCCGGTTAATCTGATTGAAGACATTTGAACAATCCAACTTATTTTCGGTTTAAAAATTCTCAATCTAACAGAATCCATCTCGACCCAAAACATATAGCATACAGGTTGAGTTGCATTAACTGTCTTGAAACTTTGGTGCATCAAAATATTTTCATACGTTTGTTACATTGAACATGGTGTTTTCACTGCTCATAATTCATTTTTTAAAAGTAATTCATAATTCATTCATTTATTATCAGTTAATTGATACAACTTATCCATACTACTTACTAAACAGATCATATTAACTGCTTTTCTAAATCTGCATATATGTGATAAAACTTACTACACATATACAAAAAGTTATATAAAGACGAAGAAAAGGTTTAAAATAATGTATATGAAAAAGAATTACGGTGTAATGGTCTAATGTACATACTAATAAAATACTTAACAATCATATTAAATTCAGCGAATAAAACGTATAATGTTCATCGAATTGGGTTAGATTCACGATTCAAATGAATCTAACCCAATTTAAATCAAATACGTATAATTTGAAGATTTTACAACTTGATTAGACATCATGTAGTTTCAGATTGAGTTTTTGGACACGCCTAATTCTCATTATTAAGGGGGTGTTTGGGATTGCTTATTTGAAACAACTTATGTTTTTCTATAAAAGTCCTTATCAACTTATTATAAATTATAATGCTTTAACTTCTTTCAAAAAAAATTATTACCGGTTTGGCACCGGTATAAACTGTTTATCCAAACACTCTAAAGTGCTTATTACTAGTGTCACACCATAATAAGTCAATAAGTTATTTTTATAAGCATTCCCAAACACTCTCTAAGAATATTTGAAACTAATTTTTAGTAAAAGAAATAATATTTCATTAACTGAAACTCAATCGATAAAGAGGCAGAGCGACTTTACATACAAGACAGGTCATGGGTTCAATCACGGCCTTTAGCCTCAGCCGAAGCAAGCCAAAAAATGCCCCTCACATTGGTGTCGTTTAACATAATTTTATTATCTATGAAACAAAATAAGTATAATTTTAATTTTATGCAACTTACATAAACATTATCAGAATTGTTATATTTGTTTTTTGACAACTAAATATACTAAATAATAATTAAAAAAATAATAAAATAAAAAATCATTCTAAATAATTAATGTATAATATATAGTTAAAATTAATTAATAATTTTCAACTAATATTAATTACTATTAATTAATATTAGTAGCAATTAATTTTTATTTTTATTTATTAATAAGTGTTATTTATTTATATATGTTTTATAATAATCTTAACCAAAAAATTTATTTTATAATAATTAATATTTATTTATAACTAATAATAATATATAATAATTAATATTAATGAGAGATATAATTAAAAAAAGGATAAAAAAACTTCTCATAAAGTAGCTTATCAATAAATTAGCTTATATGCAACATCTAAACATGTAGGGGTTGCTTGACAGTTGCTGAATGGTTTGGTGTAGAATGATTAAGGGGTTGTTTGTTTACCTCTTAATAGTTCCATTAAATGGCAACATCTGAATCGTTAAAAGATGAATCTTGTTTGACAAAAAAAATCTGTCTCTTAATGGTTCTAAAATAATCTGAATGATTTTGCATCATGGGTCTCCTTTAACCATTAACCGCCCTAATTTTATTGTAAACAATTACCAACCAATTATATTTCATTTTGCACTATATCATGAAAGTCTCTTAGGGGCTGTTTGGCGGTTGCTGAATAGTTTGGTGTAGAATGGTTAAGTGGTCAGAATGGTTAAGAGAACCAGAATGGTTAAGTGCTGAATGAAATAATGTTGTTTGGTAACTGTACTCTGAATGACAATAAATTACCATTTTAACCATCTGAATGATTTAGTACTAAGTGAAATAGAGTTGTTTGGCAGATATATGAATAAAACAATTATTTTGCAAATATAACTACATATTTCATATTAATCCAAACAAACGTAACATTATTAGTTCAAAACAGACCTATTTATCATGTATACAGCAAAATCATGATGCATATACCTATTTATCAACAAACAGACCTATGCATATACAACAAAATTTAAAACACATCCTATATAAAAACAGCCCTAATTAACGTACGAGCCCTAATTAACAAACATCCCTAATTAATCTGGTAGAGGGAAGCAGTAGGGGAGGCGATGTGAAGCGGCGAATGTAGAGGGCAGAGTTGGAAAAAAGAAATCTGAATGGTTTAGTGAAGCCCTATGTACAAAATGGTTAAGAGATTAATGTAACCATTAAGAGACTTGTTTTTTTTTTTTTTTTTTTGCCAAACTGCCTTTACCTTTTACCGATTAAGAGGTTGGCTCTTAATGTCACCATTAAGAGGCAAACAAACAACCCCTTAATCATTCTGACTACTTAATCATTCTGCACAAAATCATTCATCAACTGACAAACAACCTCCAAGTGGTCCATAGAATTAAGAGACTCTCATGATATAGTGCAAAATAAAATATAATTGTTTGGTAATTATTTACAACGAATTTAGGGTGTTGAATGGTTAATGGGGCCCCTGATACAAAATCATTCAGAAGATTTTAGAACCATTAAGAGACATACCTTTTTTTTTTACAAACAAAATTCACCACTTAATGATCCAGATCCTGCCTTTTAATAAAACTATTAAAAAGTAAACAAACAACTCCGTAGTTAATAAAAAACCAAACAAACAACCACAAGGGTGGTGCCTGATTGGTTTGAAGTTGTCTTCAAAGGTCAAAAGTACCATGAGGTCTCAGATTCAAATCCAAGGATGGATAAAAATCCCTTTGTGGCCAAGGATGTTCAAATGCAGTGACTCCGGACTATCTGCAAAACATGTGGTCGTCCTGGGATTAGTCGGCTTGTATAACGGGTTGGATATCCAAGTTAATAAAAAAAAAACCAAACAAACAATTAAAACAACTAAAATTAAAATTAAAATTAAAATTAAAAAAATTAGCAACAATTTCCAAACAAAGCTTGGGAAATCAAACGGCAAGACGATGGGAGCCCACTGAAAGAGAGAAGAAGTATTATTATATATATATAAATATAATCCATTTCTGCAAACACCGTTGTTTCCTCCGTTTTTTCAGAAGATTACCAGCTCTAATTGCCACAGGAGGAGGTTCAGGATCTTCAAGGTGATCCATCTTTTGCTTTTCTATCTAATTATTCTAGATGTGTAGCGATGCGATCATGTTTCACAGTTTCATTGTTTTCCCCCCCTTAGATTTCTATTGATTTAAGCTAGGGTTTGTACTTTAGGAATTCCTTGTGGTTGTCAGTGATGGCTTCGAAGCGGATCTTGAAAGAACTCAAGGATCTTCAGAAAGATCCTCCTACCTCTTGCAGCGCAGGTATTGCATCGATTTCGATCTGTTAGATCCTCGTTTTCTGAAGTTTTGGTTCCTGATCTCTTATTTTCAATGCTTATATTTGTGTCTGATTAACGTTTTTTTCTCAAAAATTCGGGATTGCTGGTTTGATCGTCTGTTAGGGGAATGATTTTGAGTTTTTGATGTATAAGTTTGTTGATGGAAGTTCTGGATTACGGGAAATTTTGCTGCAATTTTGAGGTTTGACTTGTTGTATGATTTAAGAACTAGACTATTCTCTTGAAGTATACCATGACATGATCCTCTTAGGCCATTATGATTAAGAGCTTATAGTTATAAACTACGTGTTGCTATTGGTGTATCAGAGGTAAAATCATATTGTTTTTGTGGAATGGTGGTTAGAAACTTTTGGCCTTTTTAACAGTAGTTGGGATTCTTGCGATTTGGAGATATCTCGAAGTTACCTGTCTCTTTTATGGAAAGGGAAATGGTGATTATAGTTTTAGACCTGCACTTCTCTTAGAAAGAGTAAGTTAAAAATACTTTATGTTCATATAGTTTTACTTTGGTAAGCATGGTAAGGGGATGTTTGGTTGGTTTTTTGTTAAGTCATGTATGGATAAAGTTGTCTGTATAGATGGGGAAGATTTTTGGTTGGGAGGGTTTTTTCATAGATGAAATTAGCATGTTTGGAAAAAAAACTTGGCTTTCAGCATAAAGCTCCCCCTAGAAGCTTATTGACTAAGCCACTTTCTATATCTTTAAGACACTACCAAACAGTCATGTATAGCTGACCGAATAAGCTGTGTGCCCCATTAAGCTGCTAAGAAACAGGCCTCAAGTCAAATAAGGCCATATATTTTGGAATCTTCACATGCACTTTTATGAATGATATTGTTCTGAAATTGGATATCAATTTGTAGCTTATATGTCTCTCTAGATTGCTTGAGGGTAATATGAATTGAAAAAGGAGTATAAATGAAATACAAATATAAATAGAAAGAATGTTTATACTTTGTGTGAAGGAACTTAAAACTACTATTTTATGTGCAATCTAACCGGGCTCAAGGATTTAAGAACACTCAAAAAAACTTGATCCATTACAGAATATTTAGTTCTAAGCAATCACTCTTGTGCAGGTATGCATCTCATAGACAAAATTATTATTATAAACTACATTAAACAATAACATCTAATTTTAATGAGCTAATTTTGAATTATAAACCCTTTGCCACTATGTTCCTGATGGAAACTTTCATGCATGCGGGTATTCTTGTACATTTCTTGATATTTTGTTGTAAGATACAGTGAAAAGCACTGGCTCAACTTTACATTTATCTTAATTCTGTAATGTGACTTTAGGCCCAGTGGCAGAAGACATGTTTCACTGGCAAGCAACCATTATGGGTCCTCCTGACAGTCCTTATTCGGGTGGAGTGTTTCTAGTTACCATACATTTCCCTCCAGACTACCCGTTTAAGCCACCTAAGGTAATCATCAACTGCAACTGCTTTTGGAGGAGATGTGGTGATTTTTTATATACATTCTCATATCAATGGAATTTCAAGATTTAATCTTAGAATGTACTAGGTGTAACTCTGTGTTGAAATGCTTGAACGGCAATAACCTCTTTTATGGCTCTAGTATCATGAAAGAAACAACAATTCTCACAGGATGGAAGTTGTGTGTGTGTAATGTGAAGGTGTCTTTTGCTTTAAGGTCGAGATCAGGTGGAATTTGAATTAGAAGAAACGAATAAGATTTATGAAAGATAAATCTTCAATTACTTTTATCATTCCTATTTATTTCATAGAATCTCACAAATCATTTTGGCTGTTATCTTCTTGTCCTCATGGCATTAGTTGAGGTGCGTGTAAGCTGGCCTGGACATCGACTGCTACAGAAAAAATTAATGGAAATGTGACCATGTTCATTTTTCAGCTGCATCAGGCATGCGTAAAATCAAACTTCAAAAATAATGTAGAAATATTTGGGTTTTCTCTTACGAATCATCTGGGATCTTTACCCTTTTGGTTTATTTTTTCAATATAGTTTTCCAGAGTTGCATATCGATATTTCTTGTTTTTACTACATTGTTGTCCTTCATGAAGGATGAGTGCTTTCCAAATTAGGCTTCCAATATTCTCTTTGGCCAAACTCTACCAAATAATTTTCAATGATTATGGCAGCGATCAAGGTGGTGAATTTTGTGTCGGTTTTCATTATCGGGAACAGTGTCATACAGGTTTCTTATGATGATGGTAACCTAATTTTAGAAGTTTGAACGTGGAAGGTTTCTTGTAAATTGCAATCAAATATTAGGCTACCCACTTTTGAGTTTTATAGAATTCCATTGATGAATTACGTTATTAAGAAATTATTTTAGAAATGGATGCCCCTCTTTACATGTTTTCTTTTTGTAGGTAGCTTTCAGGACAAAGGTTTTCCACCCGAACATCAACAGCAATGGCAGCATTTGTCTTGATATTTTGAAGGAACAATGGAGCCCGGCTCTTACAATTTCCAAGGTCAGTATTTTTAGTACTCCATTTTTACTTGAATCCTGAAGAATCATGCTTTAGGTACTTGACTGGTTCTCTGATGTTTTCCATTTTCTGGGCTCTATTTTCTTTTCTTGCCACATTGAGTAATGTTTCTATTTCTTCTCATGATATAGCTTTGACCCACAAATTGATATAATGCACCAAAGGGTTATTAGCCAAACAGTACAGGGGTTACTGGTAGAACCCAACTTTGTAGGGGTTCAAGGGTTCAAACTAGACAACCTCACAATGCCCTCCTTGTACATGTATATAGAGCTTAAACCAGACAACCTCACAATACATAAAGAATAAAAGTTATAAACATCCTTAAATTAATTTGATTCTTGAGGAAATTCACATAGGTAGTCAAATGTTATAATTCAACAACAATTAGGGGCTGTTTATCCAAATGCTTACCTGGTAAGTGCTTAACGTCTATAGTCAACGTTCTAACTTATTTCACCGGGTAAGATTGTAGTCCATCAAAAGGATATTGTATGCAACAATTTATCCTGTAAGTGCTTACCGGGTTAGAGTCGCCGTCACTTACCGGGTAAGATTCTCCATTCTTATCATTGCTCTTAGCGGGGCAAAAACTTGACCCATACCATGTTTATTTGGTAAGGTAAATGACCCGGTAAGCGTTTACCAGGTAAGCATTTAGTAAACGGTTCCTTTGCCATAATTGAGCATCAGCCGACAAGTTCCCTGATCTGCATAAAATTAAGCATGTGATTAGTGTAGTATCAGTAAGCTGAGCCATAATTGCATCCTTTTTATTCCAATTATCGTTCCTATTGTCGTAAATCAGTATCCATGTTACCAAGTGTTATAAGATTACCATCTTACCGGCAAAAGGGCATAAAATATAGGTAGTTTTGAAACTTTGTTACATCGGTTAAATAAAGGCCGTTGTTACACTAGATATAAACTAAATCAAATTTTATTGCATTTTGATGATATTTTTTGCAAATTTCTACCATCCCAAGATAGTGCTGACCTTTATAGTTTAGCCTAACCTATAAAAATTAAGTGCACACTCTCTCCAATTCTACTCTTAATTCTGAGGTTGAAAAATTCATTACCCCCTTGATTTGTAAGGGTTAATTGTCATTTGGTTTAATAAAAGTGTACTAATTACACTTTTCTAAAACCGTGTTTTTTTTATATTGGGTACGTTTATTTGGGACGGAGGGATTATGACGTGGGGGAATCGTTCGAAGTTCCAGTCAATTTGATTTTAAGATATCCATTGAAAATAGCTTCGATTGCACGTTTAAGGCGAGTTTTACAGCGAGTAAATATCTTTTGGACATGATTATTGTTAGGTTTTGCTGTCGATATGCTCTTTGTTGACGGACCCGAACCCAGACGACCCTTTGGTGCCGGAGATTGCTCACATGTACAAGACCGACCGGAGCAAGTACGAGACAACGGCTCGTAGCTGGACCCAGAAATATGCCATGGGTTAGTTATGGTATGAGATAAGGGTTCCTTTCCTTTATGGTTCCTTTTTGTTATTTATAAAAAAATTATGTATGAATGGAAAATCCTACTAAATTAAGTGGTTGTTGTAAGATATAGACTTAAAAAAACACAAGGGAAAGGTAACAAAAAATCCCTACTATCCTATCTGTGCTTTCATTTATTAAGGGCAAGATTGTCTTTTAGAAGTTTTTATGTTCATCTGCAATTTTTTTAGCTGAACTGTTACCGATAAGGGGTGTGTTTAGTACGTGAGATAGAATGGGATTGGATATGACAGAACAAAAACTTATCGTCTTATGGTTGGTGTGACATTAGTCGAGATGAGACAAGACTTAGGGGTCGTTTACCGAACGCTTACTCGATAAACGCTTACCGGTAAAATTCTACATTATCACTTACTTACTGGGTAAGATTTTAGTCAACAAAAGCGACATCTTATACAACAATTTACCTGGTAAGCACTAATCGTGTTAAGAGTCGTCGCTCTTTCTTATCGGGCAAGACTCTTGGACCTTGTCTTGCTCTTACCGGGTAAGATTCTTGGTTCTTACTATATTCATCCCGTAAGATAATTTGACTTGGTAAGCACTTATCTGAGTAAGCGTTTGGTAAACAGCCTTTTGGTGGGACATAATCAAAATAGGTGGAACCAAAGTTAGAAAGATGAGACGTATATAAATGACTACATTTGTCATGTTAGATTATAACCTGATACTATTTTTTCACTCATCTACCTCACTTTTTAATTTGAAATTAGTCTTAAACCGGTTACTCAGATATTTAAATGTTTAAAACTTTACATCTTAGACATCAAAATGAAAGTTCTAAAATTACGTCATCCAAAACAGAAAAAAGTTAAAATATGTTACTTTTTTATGTGATTTGATGGTGTAGATCCCACTTTCCTTGTTTTTAGCTTTTGTTTTGATGGGGTAAAAGGAGGATTCTGTTGCTTTAAATTCTGTATTATTTCAAATATGTAAAGTCACATCATCTATTTATTGGAGAGATAGAATGGAAAATTATTTTATTTTATATTAAATACAATAATGACATATTTTTAAATAATTAATGGGACAAAAATGAGAAAGAGATAAGTAGATTTTTATGCTATCAAAATGACGTTAAATTTGGGTATGTTCTATTCCACGTGGTCTTGTGGAAGATATTTGTCCGATTTACGTGTACGACGGTCGATCTAAAGGATTATAGATATTTTTTGTTTAAAATAAGTGTTCATATAGAAACTAGATTTGGGATCATGTGAGGCTAACATGTTTTCATGAGACTGCGACTATTTTTTTGCACTTGAAACTTTGCAGTAAAACATTGTGAAGATAATCTTTACAGTGTTTTTGTTATAAATTTTCGGATTTTTTTACTTTCACAATTTTTTGCTGTAAAGTTTTAAGTGTAAAAATGTAGTCTTACAGGTCTCACGAAAACATGTTGGTCTTACTTGAACCCAACACATGGAAATCAAATAGCAGTTAGTCATTGATTAACGTGCCTATCTTATCAACTCTTATGCTTTGTTCTCGAAACTATTTTTACGATGGAAAGGAAAGAGGAGAGAAGGAAAGTAAAAAAAAAAACTCGGGTTTTCGAAACTTTTTTAGAAGAAAAAGGAATGAAAACGAAAGGAAAATAATTATAAGTTTACTCTCAAAACCTTTTTCTTCCACATGTGAAAGAAAATAAACTGAAATTATTTAAAATGATTATTAAGATTACAAAACTATCCAATGAGTTGAGTTCATATGAGACCAAAAGTTTTTCGTGAGACCGTAAGACTATTTTATATTCATTAACCAACTTTATAAGCTAATGATCTGCTGGTCTAAAGTTGTACGGTGACAATTTTGTGATTATTGAGAAGTCTCGTGACAATTTTGTAATTATGAATGTTCAAATTGTAGATCTAATCTAATAGTTAAGAATTGTTCTTATGGGTCTCACGAAAATTTTTTGGTCTCACGTGATCTCAATCATTCATTATAATTTGGTCTCACGTGATCTCAATCATTCATTATAAATGACATAATTTTAAAGGGTATTTGTGTAAAAAGGATATCTTTCTTTTTCTTTTCACTTATTTAAGAACATTATTTAAGAACATGAAAAAATCTTTTCATACCTTTTTTTTTCTTCCTTTTCCTTCCGTTTCGAAAAAAATAATATTTTCTAATAATTTATTATTTTTATATTTTTTAAAGGGAATTTGGAAATTTAATAATTTATTTTTTAAAGTAGATATTTAATTTGAAATAAACTTAAATAAAATTGTAGACGATTATTTTTTAGACGGATGAAATATTTCAAAATTTTATATTTTAGTTTACAAGTGTATGATAAAATAATGTATCATTTATTGAAGACTAGAAGAATACTCGTGTAATGCATCGAGATAATGTTTCGTTTTAGATTTTGTTTCTATTGTTATAATACGATTTGATGTGATTTTGAGAAAGCGTTAATGTTTATATTCATAAAAAATTAATAAAAATACATCGATATTAATATCAAATTAACGATTTAAAAATTCTCGTTCTTTATGTAATTTCTTTAATTCAAATTTTTTATTATTAATTTAATTTAGGTTTATTAACGAATAAATTTATTTTGGTTTGATAATATGATTTTTATAAGAATAATAATTAAGTATTATGTTATAAGTATAACTCAATGATTATTCTAATTATATTTTAGTTTTTTTATATTTAAAATGAGATGTTTATTTATAGTTAGTTACATGAATTCAAACGTGTAGCTTTGATAAGTTGTATTATTGCATAATTTATACGAATTCAAAAATCTAGCTTTGATAAGTTGTATTACACACAATTTACTTGTAACATCGAATTTTAAGTAATATGCATTAATAAACAATACTTCATGCATAAAAATGTTTTTAAAAATATTTGTTAAATGCTTTATAATATAGTATAGATATTATATTTTGATAATTTACAGAGACTTATTATTAAATAGTTTTTTTCCCAATTTATTTTTTAATAAAAAATTTAGATCTTTGATTATTAATAAAGTCTATAATTAAATTGTTTTTATAAAAAAAATGTATCGTTTATTGAAGACATTAGATATTTAACAAAGACTTTTATTACATATATTTTTTTTTAATTTGTCATTTAATGAGATATATTTGATTATTAATCAAAAACTATTATTAAATTTGCCGGTCGCAAATTTTAATTTTTTGTCGAAAGTGTACATCTTTAAGATGGATTGAAGGGTTTATAAGGTTACGGTTTAATTATGTGGAAAGTCAATTTTCATGGGAGAAAAGATACATGTGTCGATTTGGGAATATATATATATATATATATATATATATATATATATAGGGTATATTTCTTTTACAACCTTGTGTATTTGTACAACCCGTGCAATCCATGTATATATATATATATATATACATACATATATAGAAGAAGTTTACTTTGCAAACCACGTTATTTGTACAAACCATACAAACCTCATTCAACCAATCATAATTTTTCATTTTGTTCATTTTTTGTAATGATGAGATGTTGATTAATTATTTTTATTGTGGAGTGTGTTAATCATGGATATTATCATCTTCATTATTTTAAATTTAGAAAAAAATACATGAAACAGTTTCATTAAAATTTCATTAAGTATTATATGAAACAATTTCATAACCATATATGAAACAACTTCATCAAAAAAGTATTATATGAAACAATTTCATGAAAAAATTTCATAAGATAAAACAATGAAATCGACGGATGAAAGTGGTTTGCACGGTTTGTACAAATTGAGTGGTTTACATTTGATCGCTCCTCTACACACACACATATAATCTTTTCCAAATGAATTGATGTTTTGAGCAAGATGCAATACTATGTTTGGCATAAGCTAATGTGTTTTCAGTCGAATTCCACTTTTTTGAAAGGTTTTTTTTTTAGTTCATTTCGTGGGAATTTTTCACTTTTTTTTTGCTAATTTCAAGAGATTCTGAAATATCCTGAAGCACCTTAGAATTTAGTTTGTGCACCTTTCATACCCTTCAAAGAACTTCCCTTGCAAAAGTCGAACGTACCTCAACACCCTTCTCAGACCCTCATAGGTTTGCCCCTGAATTGTGTACCAAGTCAAATGTGTTTTCATCGTGGAATGGTTGATTAGCAACGGTAGATGACAAGAGGACCTGTAATTGTTGTCTGCGTACATCTTATCATTCAGATCTTACTTTTGAATGAAATATACTGAGTTTATTTGGTTTGGTTTTACTGTGAAATGATAACTTAACATTTAAAAATAAAAATGAGTAAAGTTATACAGAAATAACAATGTACTTTAAACAAGAAGATATTTATCAACTGTGTACTTGTATTTTCAATCATTACGGAGAATTCAATCAATCAATTTAGAACATGTCACGACAGATGTTTCAGTAAGGTTATGATGAAAAGTTAATGAGAGGAAGGCCTACACACTGATATGAGTTTCATCTGATATTTTTGATTTTCAGGATACATATAACCAGATGTTTTATTTGTGAAATGACAAAATCAATGCGGGTTCGAATCATGTCATCTACATATACGTTTATGGCCACTGAGAGATTTACCTCAGGGTTATGGGTAAACCCTACAGCTATAATTTGTTATGGGATTAGTCTGGACAAAGTTTAGAATCACGCATTTAAAAAAAACATGATGTACATTTGAATATGCATATACATGATTGTATTGCATTTTGTGTTATATGTGGTATATGTTGACTCTAAGGATGGTGATTTGCCCCGATCCGGTGGAGAATCCGACTCAGCCGACCCGAACGGGGATGGGGATTCCCAGCTAAAACGGGTCCCGAGGCCGAGGATCCCCAGTAGACTCAAACTAACGGATATTCTTTATGGACTTTGACCAGGAATAAGATGTTAATCCTCGTACCCGCAAGGGAACCGAGTCTGGGGCCGAGGGCTGTTACTAAAAAGCGGGGCGGAGATTACAAAAACCGCCCCATCCCTACCCCATTGCCATGCCTAGTTGACTCGTATAATGGGAATGGGATCATAGGACTGTGCTTGACATTGTTCTAAGAGAAGACAAGTGGGTTGTCAGGCTTATACAGTAAAAGCATGCAAGTGAATTAGCTGGATTTGAATTAAAAACTATAAGAGTAAAGAAGTAGGTCAGTCAGGGTTCGAATTAAATAACAGTAAGAGCACGCAATTTGCTGGAGCAGAGTTTGTGAACTTACACCACCACCATATATAGTTTTTTTTAAATGAAAAAAAAAATACATACAGTGGCGGTCTTAAGTTCACAAACCATCATATGTAGTTTACATAATGTAATACAGTTTGTGAAATTATGCCTGCTGTTTGTGAACGATATTTGTACATGAATTCAATATATTTTTGAAATTTTTTGATGTCAACGTGTCACGAAAACAATAATTCTGACTACGCCTTGGGCTTAACCGAAACTCTAAAAAAATTGCAACTCGTGCCGATATTTGACTAGAAAGAGAAGATATGAGGATTGACAATGAAGAAGATGCAGTGCAAATCAAGGCACTGACGCATAGGCTAATGTCTTAATTATCGACATTTGATTTTTTATATTGCTATCTATTTGATGATATTTATGTTATATATATATGAGCCTATTCAAGGGAGAACTGAGTTGTTTGTGGTAACTGTGAGAACCAATATTAACCACAAATCAATAGATAAATTAGGAAATTTATAAATTTGGTAATTTTAAATTAAAATCTTAATGCAAGAATATTTTTGGTATTTTAAAACTCTCCTCTCTCCTCTCTCCGGCCACCGTCCTCCGGTGATACCACTATGATACCACTGTGATACCTAAAAATATTGACTATGTTAAACAAAAGATACATTGTGATACCTAATCATATATAAGATGCATAGTGATACCACTGTGTTACATCTTCGATCGACCACACAAACGACATCAATGTGATACCCAAACACATATATGATGCATTGTGATATCATTGTAGTATCACCGGAGGACGGTGGTCGGAGAGAGAAGAGAGAAGAGAGGAAAGTTTTAAAATACCAAAAATATGTTTACATTAATATTTTAATTCAAATTTGCCAAAATTATAAATTTCCTAATTTATCTATTGATTTGTGGTTAATATTGGTTCTCACAGTTACCACAAACTAATTAGTTCTCATTTGATTAGGCCCCTATATATATATATATATATATCAAAAATCCGATCTTCATATATTGGCATTAGCCGTTAGGTTTAACTTGAATTCTCTTATCCATAAAACGTTTATCAAACAAGTACTCAACTGATCACGACAAGGTTCAGTAGTCCCCAGTAAATCTCATTTATTGACCTAGGTTATGTGGTCAACCAAGCACCGGTCTTATCATAGAAGGTTAATTATTCATACCACTATTAGTAATTTGATTAAAAATAAATTAAATAATATGATTATAAAAGAAGGTAACCACATCAAAATGTAACAAACTTTGTATCAGAGTCGTTTACCAAACGTTTACCAGGTAAATGTTTTTTTTATCTTACCGGATGGACATGACAAAAACCAAGAATCTTACCCGATAAGTGGTATCTTTTGCCGGTAAGCATTTGCTTGGTAATCTTTTGGTTAATACCCTTACTTTCTATTTATGGTTGTTTACCAAGTGCTTACTGGTAAAAGTCACGTATCTTACTTATCTTACCAGGTAAGATTTTCAACCATTAAAATGTTCTATCAAAATCAACGGTACTACGTAAGCTAAAAACATTGTTATCATGATAGGAATAAAAAGAATTAAACGTTCACTATATTTAGAGGCAGACCTAGATTTTTTTTTCAAACAGTGGCACCGTTTGACTATAAGAAACAAATATACGGATTTTTTTCTTCTTCAAATGGTGACACCATTTGACTAAGAAAATGACGCTAACATCATTCGAACTTGGGCCTGGGGTGGAATAAAAGTCTTGCAAACCAACTCTACCAAATAAAACTTGTTCTCATTGTAGTTTCAAATACATACGGTAGCACACAACAGATTAATATGATTGCACTTTTCACGAACCTAAATTTTTTTACCCATCGACGGAGGAATAATACAGTGGCACGTGCCACTGTATGCCCAACTATAGGTCCGTCCCTGACCGTATCTAGAGGTATTAAACGATTGAAGTGTATGAATTTAGGTGGATCCAATCATCCATTGGATGTTAGGATTTGTCATCTGATCAAATCCAATTAACATTGGACATCCAATCCAATCAAATCCAATGAATAATTGGATCAGATCGGTTCCATCCATTTGATATTATTATTGGTTAATAACTGGATCAGATTGGTTCAATCTATTTTGATCCAATTAATCCACCATTTCAATCAATTATTCATATATTTTCTTAATTTATTAAAAAAATTACATATAAATATCAATTGAAAAACCATATCGTAAGATGTTAATAATCATGTATATTTATTAAGACGAAAGATCCTACTGGAATAAGAGTTAAGCTGAGAAGTATAAGAACAAATTTGGACCATTGATCATTTTTAATCACAAAACAACCCATGAATTATGCATTAGAAAAGAATTGATCCAATGCTTCTCATCAGTGTTGATCTAGTGGAACTTTTCAATTATGATTTATCTAATGACGAAAATCCCTTCTTACCCTTCTTACCAGAACTCAACCTAATTATTAATTGAATGATAGTTGGATAATAACTGAATTGGATCGGACGGGTTCAGTTTTATTGGATTCTGAACTGCCATTTAAGAATTGGCCGATCCAATTTAGATGTTGAAATTTTAGATCCGATCTGATCCAATTAAAACTGAATATCCGATTGTGCCTGTATCTAATGAACTAAGGGGCCGTTTACCAATGCTTATCGGCAAAATTCAAAACTATCAATTACCGGTAAGATATTAGTCCATCAAAACGGTATCATATGCAACAATTAACCCGGTAAGTGCTAACCGTGGTAAGAGTCGTCGCTGTCACTTACCGGACAAGACTCTCGGTCTTTGCCTTAGCTCTCACCGGATAAGATTTTTGGTCCTTGCAATATTGATTCGGTAAGGTAATGTGACTAGGTAAACGCTTACCCAGATAAACGTTTTATAAACGGCCCCTGAGTCCGCCCCTGCTACATTAATCGATTAAATAATTAATTATTACAATAAATAAAAGTTTTCATAAATTTCGTTTTTTTTTTTCTACAACATGAATATTGCCACAAGAATAGAAGGGGCCAAGTCCTGAATGAAGAGAGCTTGCTGACTGAAATAGAGTATATATATATAAAGCTCTTTTCTACGAACACCATCATTTTTCCTCCGGTTATTCACAAAATCCTAATAACCAGAGGTCAGGATCTTCCAGGTGATTGATTGCCTCCTTTTCTTTTCGATCATCGCTTCTAATTTCCTCTTTTTTGCCTTCAATTTATGTAATACGTAGCTGTTATGCGGTTTAATTTGAGTTAGGGTTTGTGTTTTGCTGAAAATCCAGGATTTCCTTGTGGTGTTGAGTCATGGCTTCGAAGCGGATCTTGAAAGAGCTCAAGGATCTTCAGAAAGATCCTCCTACTTCTTGTAGCGCAGGTACTTTATGGATGTCGATCTGTTTAGATCGTGTTTTCGATGTTTTTTTTTTGTGAACTTTTGATTTTGATCTCTTATGTTCTATGTTGCGTGCTGAATTGTGTTTGTTTGGAAGGAATTTGGCTTTGATTTGGTGTTTGATTTGGGGAAAAGCGGAATTGCAAGTTTTTTTTGTGTGATTCTGTTGGAATTTTGAGAAAGATGGTTTGATCTTTCGAGGAAAGTTGTTTTTTATGGGTGTGGGTGAAGGAATTCGTTTATAGGTTTTTTTTTATAGATATGTGTTGTGGATCATGACGCTTTTGTGCGTTATCAGGGTTTTGAACCGTGACTGCCCAACAGAATGGACTATAATTTTTGTATACCTAGTCTTTTTGTCTTTAGATCCTATCATACACAACCTTGTAATTTACCATCGTGATTGAGTGGTTGTAGCTGTAGAATAAATACTGCTATTCGAATCGAAATTGTATATACACAAACATAATGACATATTCTGTCAAAGCCCCAGACTTCCCTATGATTGGGTGTATTCAGTTTCATGTTCTACTATTTCACTCCCTTATTACCTAAGGTTGCCACTTGGAATTAGGAGTTGCACCTCCTTCAGTTTCGGATGTCCCAAAGTGATTGTTGGATTTCTGAAACATTCAGTATAGAGTTTTTTGGCATCCAATTCTTTCCACCTTTCCTCATTATAGGCTCTCATGACTCTTAAAAAGAGCAAGTTGAAAATGAAAAGACCATGGTGTTTTAGCTTTATGTAATAAGCATGCCACATACTTCTCAGATCAAGTAACATGTAGCTTATTTCAAAGCCATTGGTTTTACCCTTTTAAGCAAAGAGCTGTTAAACCACTTTGAAGCTGCAAAAGACACGCATGCTATAAGCAGCAAACCGGATATTTTATAAATATGTTCAAAGCACAATTTCTAGATCACAAGAGTAGTAGCATGTTAAAACAACATAACCAGACTCCACAATTGTTAAAAAAGATCCAGTTAAACTGGATGTGCCTATTTGCTGTTGCGGGCTTAGAATTTTTTTCTAATGAGCACCGTTGGACTGTAAGAGTTAAATCTATAGAAAAATTTCAGAAAATCATAATATATTGGTTGGTTGGTTTCTTGCATTTGCAAGGGAAGTGGTTCGATCTCTACCATGTTGCTTTCCTTAAATTTTTTCACAAAATCTACATAAACCAAAATTAAAAGAAAATTTGCAAAGAGCACGAGTTGAACCCCAAGATTCATTAATATGGCGACTTAGACCAGCTCATCTATCACAAACTTCTGTCCTAAGTTCAGTTTTTAGAAATATCGAAGCACACAACGAAACATTACGGTAGCACCCTTCAGAAGCATAATTTTTTTCTCTATGTAGGTTCAACCATGCCTATTTGCTCGTTGTGCCAATAGGCATTTTCTTTTTGAAATTTATGGTTCGACACCTTCGGTCTTCTTAATCCTCGGGGTTTATGCAAAGCCCTCCCACCACATGAACCGGGCAAACTTCCCCCCTTCCGACAGGCAGGTGTAGTTCATTCACTGGGGGTGCTTGTCTCTGAAATTGAACATGGGTGTCCCTACTGTTAGGTAAATTTCGAGCTTGGCCCTCAGGAGGGTTGTTCGAAGATACTTGGTGTATGCATAATTCAAAGTATGACTTTAGGTTAGATCGCTACTATTGGGCATTGGGCCTGTTGCATTCAACCACCGATTCCCTATTTGTAATTGGAGTAAATTTATCTTTACTTTCAGAGCCTTCTTGTTTCATCAGAGATTTGGAGATAGGTAATTGTACCAAGTATGGGGGGAAGTAATCGACGTTGTTTAATACAATCAGCAACCTTATATGTGTCTGATGATATAAGTGATATATATTCTAAAATTCCATGTGACTTCTTGAGATGGGATGGAGGCATGGTGTAGAAATCAACTAACATTTTCCATTACCAATCTTTGTGATGCAGTGGAACACCTCCATGCATTTGCATATTAACTTGGCTGAATTTACCTCATAGCTTGTCCCACATGGTGCTTTCTTGAGATAGATATACTCCAAGATTATTATTATTTATCAGCCAACTTCTTGTAAACAGCTAAGCATACATGATACCTATATCAACTAAATGTCAGACACCATGGATCTAACGGGATGGTTTCATGCAAGCATGCATATGTACTTATGTGGACGTTCATCGTATACTAATGTGAAAATCATCAATTTCTCATTTCATTTACTTAAGTTTTGCATCTTTGATTTCAGGCCCAGTGGCAGAAGACATGTTTCACTGGCAAGCAACAATTATGGGTCCTCCTGACAGCCCTTATGCTGGTGGAGTCTTTCTAGTTACTATCCATTTCCCTCCAGATTATCCTTTTAAGCCACCTAAGGTAACCATCGGCTGCAACTTTAAATACAGTTAGCTTTTTTGTGCATACTCATCATTTTGAAAGTTCAATATCTAACTTCTCACTTCATGTCGTTTTCTCTCTCAGAAAGTATACATGTTAATCAATGGTGAATATTGCTCTACCTGCAAAGATATATTCAAAGAGTTTCTATATTAGCTATTAAGCACAGCACACATACCTATAGGAATACTGTACTGAGTAATTTGAAGCCTTGAGGGTGCGTTTGGCATGTGTGTGGGGTGGGACAGAACAGGACAAAAAACTTGTCCCATGTTTAGTGCAACTATTAGACTTGGACCGGACAGGATTGAGTGGGACAAAAATGCATTTTTTTCCTATCCCTCACCAAAGTAGGTGGAACAAATATAAGGGTGATATGACAACCTTGGTAAATTACTAAAGTACCCATGTCAAATTAAAACCCTAAAAGCTTCCAAAATTCTTTCACCTGCCTACCTCACTCTTGCTTGTTCATTCCCGACCGGTCCTGTCTGCGTACCAAACGCACCCTGACTGAACAATAGAAGATTTCTAAAATGATATTTATTTATTATTTTGACTGGTTACATTTGTCTTATTTTTTTTGTGCATTTGCGTGATTGAACGGTAATTTCAACGCATAAAAGTAGACTAGAATTGTTAATAACTATTTAAATTTCACCTCTATGTTCCAAGTAAGCTGTACATTATATTGTGCTTTATGCAGCTATAGCTCATGTTAATTCTTTTCCGCTGCTTAACGTGCATTTGTACTCTACTTATGTAGGTAGCTTTCAGGACGAAGGTTTTCCACCCGAACATCAATAGCAACGGCAGCATTTGTCTTGATATTTTGAAGGAACAGTGGAGCCCAGCTCTTACAATCTCCAAAGTTAGTTTCTCGATACTTAATTTATAAGCAACCTAATTAATACCCGAAGATATAGTTGATGGGTCCATTTATACATGCACAAACGAAAATAGCACCCTGGAAACTTAGTGCCCACATGTCGCCAAGGTGTAGCACGGTTCCAGGGTGGTATATTTGCACAAATAAGCGAGGGTTCAAGCCTGGCAGCCATAGTGCTGGAGTTACAATTCCTTTGGGAATTGGGTGTTGCCACTTAGCTCTTAAGCTAGCCACCTAGCAGGTTGTTATGTACCTGATTTGTCTCTTAGATGATGCTCTTGTGCTGGGGTACTGTTGGCTGGCTTTGGGGGTTGCCGTTACAAACCCTTTTTGCACAAACTTAGTGGCCACATCCTCCAGGGTGTAGCACAGTTAGGGCCTGTTTGTTAGCAGCTTAATGAGCTTAATGGGACTCACGGCTTATTCAGACAGCTATATGGACTGTTTGGTAGTGGCTTATTAATATAGAAAGTGGCTTGTTCAATAGGCTTCTAGGGGGGAGCTTTATGCAGAAAGCCAAGATTTATTCAAACCTGCCCCTCTCAATCAAAAAACACGCTCCTTCCTTCTACAGGAAAACCCTCCAAACCAAAACCTTCCCGATCTATACAGATTAATCCGCACAGACAATTTTCTTCCTACAGGACTTGATAGAAAACCAACCAAACAGCCCCTTAGTTCCAAAGTGCCAGACAGCCGCAGTGTGGGAGTTGCAAATTCCTTCGAGCACTGGGCTCCTTGTGGGCACTAAGCTCTTAAGTCAGCCACCTAATGGGTCATTTTATACCCGATTTGACTCACATTATGCCCTCAGGCAGGAAAAGGGTTGCCGGTTACAAACCCTTTTTGTACAAATTTAGTTGCCAATTTTCATTTCATGACTAGTGATGATTTGCTTCTGGGACACGATTATTAGGTTCTGCTGTCGATATGTTCTCTGTTGACGGACCCGAACCCGGATGACCCTCTGGTGCCAGAGATTGCTCACATGTACAAAACCGACAGGAACAAGTACGAAACGACTGCACGAAGCTGGACCCAGAAATATGCCATGGGATAACTCCATAATTGTGCTGCATTCAAAGGTATGAGATGAACAAAGGGCTCCTTTTCCTTTTCTGCTTCTTTTTCCCCTAAAAATGTGTGAATCGAACGAATGCAAACTGTGATTATGTGTCGAATTGTAAGATAGACTTTAAAAAAAAAGGAAACATGCCCTTCTTAAAATCACTCTTGTGCTTTGCTTTTCTTATTGGAAGATTTGCCTTCAAAAACTATGATTTCGTGTTCGTTTCCTTTTTTATGCATTTCTTTTTGTAAAACCCGCATACGATTAGTACGAAGATGAATCGTATGGTTTAATGATGGTCATTTATGGTTTGCATTTTGCTTTGAAAATGTTCGCTTGAGGGGTATTTTCGTCCTTTTACCCATTTTTTTGTCCGTTAAAGAGAAAAGAACAAAAATACAAGAAGTATGCAAGTAAGCTACAAAATTGGTTCTTGGTTTTTTATATGGGTAAAAGGACGAAAATGCCCCTCCACTTAACGGAGAATTTTTAACAGAGTTTATCAAGGGACCAGTCTTTAAAACAAAATGCAAACCATAATGAACGATACTATACTTAATGAAGTTTTGGGACGTTGTTTGTAGTTGGGTGTAAACGTCATGGATCAAAATTGTGGTTTACTCCAACAAAAGAGCTGGTCAAATATTGTTGTAATGTAAATAGCTTCATGGTTAATGAGATTGAGAATCGATGTCTTGGATGTCATCGAGCCAAAGATCGCTTGACGAATCCCTTGGGTGGGTTGTGGAAATCTTATCTTCCCCGGGTTTGAATTTAGACTTTGCCAAAGCCTTTGTGGCAATGAAGATTCATCTATGATGACTTCAGGCCATTCATGGTTATCCAAGGGATTATTCGGTGCACGTAAGTTGGTCTAGAAACACACGAGTTGCCCCAAAAAAGACATCTTAGCGTCAAATATCTAGGGTGCCCCCACTATACTTGGCCTAATCGGGCACTCGAGGAGGTGGCTTCATACCCTTCTTGCATAACTTAAATGATGTAGTATAACACGAGTGCAATGCATGACCGAAGGCCTGTGAATCCTCGTGTTGAGTCGGGGAAAAGAATTACGCCGATTCGGCAAAAGCAATACACTTTTCTAAATGGAATTGACCATTTTGTGCTGTCTTTTTTGGGGTTTTTTTTGGTGATTTTGTAGTTTTTACGGTACTAAATTCTATTCATGAAAGTTTCGAGCTTTTTCGATTCATCTTTTCAGTATTTCTACGAACGAATGAACCTTGAATCGGGGTGTGAGTTTATCTATGAACGTTGCATCAATAAGTAACCTATTTGATGCCCAAGAGGTTACTTCAAAAGTTCGAATTCATATAAAAAAACCCAAACATTCCGGAATTCCTATTTTAGTAATTTTGGGTTTTCCGTTTTCTGTAACTCCGTTTTGCCAGAGTTTACGCAAATGTCTTTCGCATTTGCGTAAAACTTGATTTTGTACTTAAAAACATGCAATCACGAAACATTAAGTTTTGCGGGCGACTTGGCTTGTGACCTAGCTCACACGTAATCACATATGATTTTACACACGAATTCAGTGTAAAATATGATTGAACTGTTTTCATGTTCTTTTATTTAGTCGTCATTATCATTTGAATGTTGCCCATTAGAGCAAATACCTCAAACTCGTCCCTTGGTTATTAGAGCATTCCAACAAGTACGCTATATTTTATCTCAGTCTTTTCAACTTTGGAGATTTCTCTAATTCTCTGTTCTATTTTTAGATGGGAGTTTTAACATATTTGTTAGAACGATATTTTTTCTTAAATCTCCAAAATTTCTAAAAATAGTAACGTTGTTAAGTGTTTGAGATGCTTTTTAAAACAAACTATTGGAAGACATTTCATGTTGCTACAAAGTTTCCTTTTCTCCAAAATGAAAATATCTAAAAAGTAGAGGGGGTAAAATAATAAATAATGAGGCGTCAATGTCACGTGATTGGGCACGCTTGTCAGTCACGTGATGTTAAGAAGCATAAACGCCGCCGGTAACGGAAAATTGGCACCGACAGTCTCAGGTTGACCCTCTACCAACCGCTGTTGTATCCATTTTCGTCACCGGTTCTAACGAATCCATCGCTGGTTGCCTTTCTTGTTTTCTTTTAAAAAAAAAAATATTAAAATGAGATATATTTTATTCTGTTTTTATTATAGGAAACTAAGGAGTCGTTTACCAAATAGTTACCCGGTAAAATTTAACATTATCATTTACTTGTTGGGTAAGATTTTAGTTCACAAAAACGGTATCGTATGCAACAATTTACCTGGTAAGCGTTTACCGTGGTATGGGTTGTCACCTCACCTACTGAGTAAGACTCGTAGTCTTTGTCTCGCTCTTACCAGGTAAGATTCTTGGTCCTTACCACATTCATCCGCTAGTAACTTAGTGTTCACTTACCCGAGTAAATGTTTGGTAAACGTCCCCTAAATATCCATTTACCAAGCGTTTAATGGGTAAGCGTTTATCGATTATAGTCATATTCACTTACCTTGTTGGATAACATTTTCGGTCATTAAACTGAAGTGTTGGTAAACACATTTAACTCGATAAACGCTTGTCAAGTAAAATTTTCGGTTCTTGTTGTGTCTCGTGTCGTACCGGGCATGATTTTCAGTTCTTTTTATGACTCTTACCGAACAACAGGGACAAACCCAAGTGATGTCACCACTTGATAAAATTTACAAGTCAGTCTTTACTAATTGGTCGTTTATCTAAATGCTTACTCGGTAAGTGCTTACCAATAGGATTCAACATTATAATTTATTTTGATACGTAAGATTTTAGTATATCAAAACATATTGAATGCAACAAGTTACTGGGTAAATGCTTACTTGGGTAAGAGTCGTCATCCTTACTTACCGGGTAAGACTCTTTATCCTTTTCATTGCTCTTACCCGGTAAGATTCTTGACCCTTCTCATATTCATCCGATAAGAAAATTTATCCAGTAAGCACTTACCAAGTAAGTGTTTAGTAAACGGCCCCTAAGTCAGATTCTAGGTTCATTTCATGCTTACTTGGTAAAGTAAATGACATCTGATAAATACTTACTCAATAAGAGTTTGGTAAACGACTCCCAAATTTTTATTTTATGAACACCTCAGACAATAAATCAATAATATTTTGTTTGGTCTTAAAACCTTATTGGTTGTGGAGGAGAAACACATGTTTGCTTCATAAGGGTTTAGGTATCTTCTCTAATTAGACGTATTCTAAAACCGTGAGTTCAGGTGTAGAATACAACAGACAATATCTTGTATGGTTAGTCTGAGATATTGCAGATGGTATCAGAGCCGAGAACCGAACTGATCCAGGCCAAAAAAGTTGATTACCGGCAACTCAACTGATCCCGTATGAAATCCGTCTCCAAAAATATCAATGTGACGGAACATTCTGTTTAGTCAGAGGTTGAGGTTAACAGGTAGGGTTGTGGTAGAACCGGAAGTATGACTTGTATTCAAACGAAATCGTCTCGATGACTCGATCCTTTACCGACTATGCTATACGTCGTAGGCCCCACACGACTCCAACCCATCTTTAGAGTTCTCCATAAAATAAAATCGAAAAAGACAACCAACAAAACAAAGTATAGATTTCAGACCCCCGTTGCATTATACGAGTACACTTTTAGTTTTTCCTGCTCTCTCTTAAATATATCAAGTGTAATTTTCAAAAATACCCACCTAATTTGGGTTAATTACACTTTTCACCCCCAACATTGGTATTTGGTACGAAAAGGATTCATCTTTCAAGGCTTCTCAATTTGTGAAGATCAAGAAGGGAAGCTTTTTAAGAATCTGTCTTAGTTGATATTGACAAAAATTATACTGTAGAAATTTATAAAACCGAGAGTGAATTACATTCTGTTTTCGTTTTTATGATTCAGTATTTTTGACAGTTTTAGGGATTGTTTGTTTAGCTCTTAATAGTTCCATTAAGAGACAGTCTCTGAATCGTTAAGAGATGAATCTTGTTCGCCAAAAACAACTATGTCTCTTAATGGTTCTAAAACCCTCTGAATGATTGTGTATCATGGGTCTCCCTTGACCATTCAGCGTTATAATTTCGTTGTAAACAATTATCAAACAATTATATTTTATTTTGCACTATATCATGAGAACCTCTTAATCATTCTGACCACTAAATCATTCTGACCACTATATCATTCAGCACCAAACCATTCAGCAACTGCCAAATATCCCCTTAGTTTATAATTTAAACTTTCAATAAATTGTGTTCATACGGTCGAATTTTTTTAACGAGTAGGTGTCTAATACAATCATGGAAACCTATCTCGTTAATTTATATAGGGATCCAACTCATTAAAAAATTGCAACTATAGTCTACAAGGACCCATTTTATTTATACTATGTTATAAAGCATTTGACAGAACTCTTAAAAACCATTTTTTATATATGAAGTACTGTTAATTAATGCATATTACTTAAAATTCAAGATTACATGTAAATAGTACATAAATACAACTTATTAAAACTTCATTTTTTAATTTGTGTAAGTAATTGTAGATAAACATAATCAAATACAAGATAAACATCTCATTTTAAATATAAAAACTCTAAAACATAATTAGGATAGTCATTAACTTATAACATAATACTTAAATATTATCATTATAAATAATTATATTATTAAATAAAAAAATAAATTACTTCATTATTAAACATAAATTAAATTATAATAAAAATTTGAATTAAAAAGTTATACAAAAAACGAGAATTTTTAAATAGTTAATTTGATATTAATATTGATACAAAACAATATTATATCGACAAGAACAAATAATAAAACAAAATATTAAAATTGAAATGTATCTCGCTGCATTGTACGAGTATCTTTCTAGTTTTAGAAAATGCAACCTCGGAGACCCATCTTGTTAAGAAAAATGAAACCATAGGGGCACATTTTATAAATTTTCCAAAATACGAGATATAAATTTTTTATAAAATTCCCAAAATTTTAAGGACGAAAACAGACTTGTCTCACATGTATCACAAAAACACCTTACAATATCATAATTACATTTTTTGACATATAATATTATTATTCTATTAGAATAATAGATAATTATTTAATACTCATAAACATCTATTTTTTTTATTAACCTAGATACCCAACCCGTTATGCAAGCCGACTAATCTCATGGTGACCACTTGCTTTGCAGATAGCCCGG